GAAATACAAAGTGTCATTGGTAGGAGAGGTTGTCACGTGGCCAAATATCCAGTCCTCTCTTAAAACTGGCAAAATGAAAGGTTAATAGCATCGAAAGGTGTGGAATTAGAAATTTATTGTAACACGCAGACATACACCTTTTTGGTAGAATATGTTATTTCTAGTTTGTAGTGATGTGTATGAGACTGAAGTCATGTCACTTTTTAATGATTCAAACGTATATATATAATATTTACACTATTACACTATAACATTTAATCTTAATAATTCACCAAAGCATCAAATACATTGCTTAAGCAGATAGATTATGGAGCTATAATTGGAGATTCTGCTTCTGCCAAAGCAAGGAAAAAACGATTTTAGGCTAATGTTTTGGCATGCTTCCGTAATGGTGTACAATAACTATATTGTTTTGTTATGTATCTAATTCATTCTTACTTGCTATGTTGTACAAGTAAATAACTATTATTATAGTTGTTTAATTTAATATATCATCCTTAAAAGTTGGACGCATCAGATTCTAATTTACTTCGAATAATTAACTCATATTCTCTAATTAACTTAATATGTATTAATTATAATTAGCTTCAAATTTGATTGTACTCTATTCAAGAGTTCGCCAGGGTCTCAAACTACCTTAATGCGGGATTGGTGATCAGAATTTTTCCCAAAGCTACCAAGGCTTTTCAGTGATTTTTCTTGAAATATAAAAAATATTATTACATTCTAGCTAAATTGATCTTTCTGGCAGTATCAAAATTATTTATAATTTTAGCCCTAATTATCAAAATAATTGATGAAATAATGATTTTTGTAGAAGCCTGAACGTGTTTATCTTTCTAACAGAAATATAGATAGTTTCAAGGAGGTAAAATTTTTAAAAAGCCTTAACGCTCAACCTTTCGGACTTTTCCTGAATTAATTAATTTTGAACACGCTTTAGTTAATCGATTTAATTTTTAAGGCAACGTAATGCCAATATCAAACAACTTCAAGGTCTATATTTGTACTTTTTGGTGAGATAATGGATATTTCTATACAGGCTATACCTTCTAGTCGAGTTAACGTGCTCCAAGTGCTTACATATGTTATGGCACGAGATGAGGACCTCCATACTCAGAGATAACTTCCCGCTATGGTGCTTGCTCATATAAAAGCCGCACCCAGTCTTCATTCTAGAACTTTCATTCCTTACTTGTTTTGTCACAATATCTCTTGTGACACATGTCAGCCTTCTCTAGCTGTTGGAACACAAACTCGTGCTCATTGGCCGATACAGACATTAACCACTTCACATATCTTTTTTTGGAAACTGTAGCACATATGCTAAAGGAGAAGACTGTAAATCACATCCGCAAAGAGTAACATTTCCATACCAAATATGAGCATGTATGGCAAACAGCCATTTGTTCTCCGTTTTGTTGTACAGTATGTCATCGTGACGTACAGCAAGTGTTCATTCCAGGATTAATAAACCTTACAAGCCTTTGCTTGATAGTTTGTTTTACCCATTCTGTCAAACAATCAGCATCTTCACTATACCCAACAAGGTACACAACTCAGAGAATAGCTGGCTATTGAAATTAGCTCGCTGATCCCTGTGATTTTTTTAGGTGAACTAAATTGGGCTATACAGTGCAATATACTGTGCTGAAGTATTGACCAATGGATAAGCCTCAGGCCACTAAGTAAAATAATTATTACAGAACAGAACATACTGAATACCTCATTCAGTTGCTGGGAGAGAACTGGTGATATCCAAAGTTATTGTCTATAAAGGGGAACCAACAAATCTCTTCTTGAGTTTATATTGTCTAGGCTGGCTTTTGCTCTGAGCAGCAGACACTATACAGTGTTGAAACCACCACTTAGTGTCCCAACCTGAATTTAACCAGCAAAATTGTCATCTCAAATTACCAGAAATGTGTATAGCCCATTGGTAATTTTTAGTCTTTGCATTACACAAAGTCTGAATAATTTCCTTTCTCAGAACCATGGGGACTGTTAGCTGAAACAAAGGTTGAGAAACATATCTTACTGGTTGAAAATAATGTCACAGCAACCTTTCTAGACTTATAACTGCTCATAAAAGAACCACAAGCTACATTTGTCCATGTTACATTTCTCAGTCTGTGCTGGGTATGCTTCACCTTGCTGCATGCCAAGGAGTGGCTACCGTAGCCTCATTTCCTTCACCTGCTCTTCTCCTTTTTCCTGAAGCACTAATTGTGATATTAAATCACTAATGGAATCTACTCCCTATGGTTTAATGTTGTTATGACATAAATGGCTTTAATTAACTCCCACACAGTGCCCATGGTTTGGACATTCGTGGAACAGAAAGGCTCAACACTTCCCCACTACTTTCACCAGACTGTGCCCACTGTCTCACCTGTTGGTGGATGACATTCATCAGCTGCTCCTTCAGTATCTCTAATGTGATCATGGGTGGCATCGACCAGAGTTAAGGCAGAACTACTTTTGTCAGTGGATGTCTAGGACTCTTGTAGACAATTTCACATTCATTCTCTGACTCACCAGATCATGCACTACCGCAACTATCCTGAGTTGTCCATGATTCCTGTGTACTGAAGTTAAACATCAGTGGCAGAACCCAACTGGCCATTCTAGGTGCAGCATATTCTGGTACTTCTCCTTTATGGTTCTTTAGAAGCAATGAGAAAAATGTCATGATCCTTTGTAGCATTGGTAAAAGACTAATGTACAGGGGAGAATTTCTCCTAGACCGAACAACTCTTTTTAATAGCTGGTATTCCTCACCTCCCAACTCTTCTTCTTTGTCATAACTCCTTTGACAAATGGAAAATGACATTTAGTGAAGTGTGAAGCTTCAAATCAACAACACAAGACTTTAGAAGAGCACAGACAAGTTTATTCACCAGAAGAAAAACAAACACTCTGCAGTAACAAATTCTGTGGTCATGGTGCCATATTTTCTCCTTCCTACCTGTGGTATTTTCAAGTTCATTGATTTCCCTTCGAATAATTGGGTAGGTGTCACAAAATGAGAAGAGGATCGAAAGAAAAATGTTTTATAGGGCAAAAACAGAATCATTTAAACCTCAACTGAGTTTGAAGAAAGGAAAGATACTGAACACGTTGTATAAAACTGTGAAACAATTTTTATTTCAACATAAAGACAATGAAAAGTGTACTGTATGACATCTTTATTGCAGAGCAAATCAATATCTGTAATAAATCAAGTCGATTATAAAATAAGTTAAAACTTTTAATAACTTTTGTTCCAGCCATAGAAAACGTGGTATTGTATACCAATAAAAACAATTTCATTACTCTTAGGATAATGACACTACCCACATGATTAATAGTAATTCTCACTTCAAAATAATGGAAATGTTGTATTAGGGCAACCACCTGACTTGCCAGTAGAAAAGGTCACTATCTGTTTCTGTACATATGCTTTTCATTACAGGAATCATTCCTGTAAAAAGTGCACTTGATACCCTACCTGAATGACCCAACTCTTTAAGGATTTAGTGCAAAAGGACTTTAGTGTTCTATAATAAGACTACCTGCTCAGTTTATACAGAAATGATCCTCTGGTGAAACAGCAGCAAGTATACGGACTTAAAACGCTAAAATCCGGATTTCAATTCCACACAGTGGACACTGTGGTTTTGCTCTAAAACACACAAACAGAGAATACATAGAAATGTTGATTTTGTAAAATAAAGGGGTAGGAAATATGTAGTGAGTTTGCGTATCACACACACAAAAAAAGAGTTTAAAGTGTTGAATCAAAGAATATGTTATTATTCACGTTAGTTAAAAATATAAGTAATTATTCTCCTTACTAAAAAATAACCTAGATTTCGATAGCAAATTAACTTGCATTACATATTAATAATTTAAGGTTCTAAGTTCGAAGACATACATTTTGTCTTTAATGTAACATTTAGCGTAATTTTAGGCGATCCAATATCATAATATTTCTACTCTTCAATAATTAGTATAGAAATGTCTTTAAGTAAAGTGTATTCAGACTGTTTTTTTCTAAGTATCCATGCAGGTTTTCTGTTATGACGTCATTGTAAACGAGATAATTGTTTTGTTTTCAATTTCGCGCAAAGCTACACGAGGGCTATCTGCGCTAGCCGTCTCTAATTTAGCAGTGAAATACTAGAGGGAAGGCAGCTAGTCATCGCCAACCACCACCAACTAACTCTTGGACTACTCTTTTACCAACGAATAGTGGGATTGACCGAATATTATAACGTCCCACACGGGTGAAAGGGCGAGTATGTTTAGTAAAACGGGGATTTGAATCTGCGACCCTCACATTGCGAGACGAGCTCCCTAACCACCTGGCCATTCCAGGCCATTAAAAAACTAAATTTCTATTAGGTTAAGCCTTTGTTTGTAGTATAAGCGAAAATTTGAGCATTACAATTTTCTCAAAAGTATCAACCCAGTTATACATATATATATATATACATATACATGAATATTATGTATCATAGGATTAAATATTTAACTTTGATTTCTAGAGAAAATGTTGACCATCTTGGAATTCGCATTTCTTCGCACCGAAATATTAATATATTAATTATGTTATTACTTAAGAGCCCCCTACTAGCACAGCGGTTTGTCTGCGAACTTACAACGCTAGAATCCGGGTTTCGATACCTGTGGTGGGCAGAGCACAGATAGCCCATTGTGTAGCTTTGTGCTTAATTACAAACAACATTACTTAAGAAAGACTTTATAATAAAATATAACCAAAACTGTATTTTGTACTATCTTGTAACATCGTTTGATTTTATGCGTGTCTCAGTTTTTATTTTTGGTGATTTTGTAGGGTTAATACTCAATACATATGCTAATTTTTGAGCAAATAATATAAGGTAGCATTTGTATTTAAAAACAAATCAGACCATTATCGATTTAGTTTCTAAATATATTTTTCTTTACATCAAATGTCGCTGAAGTTGTACATGATCACGTGATTAGATTTGGCGCGAATGCTGGATCCCTCATTTATTGTGACATAAGAAAGTAGAAAAATTCGAGTCTAAATCTAAAAAAGTTTGAATTTTGACAATACAATGACAACAGATATTGATCAGAGATTACGTGATATTCAAAGAGAATACTTAGATTTCTTAGACGATGATGTAAGTAATGAAACTTTTACACTTATTAGCAAAACTTGTTTTGTATATAAGTTATGATAACCTCTTCTCGCCTTTGCTTCAGTCTGAGGTAATAACTAAAATATCTACAGTAACTGAGTTCATTACTGAATTAACGTAGTACGTTAACAGCACTAGTACTATCAGTATTGTTATAATTAATACTGCTAATAGTAGCACAATTTTTTATATTGATTGATCTACACTAACGTTAATGTAACAGTTAGTCAAAACTTTTCAATTTTCATACTTTGTAAAATCTACTTTTTTTATATATAAATATAATATAGGTTAAAACCCAGTTAAAAAGCCTAAAGTTAAATATGGAACTTATTTTTGGAGGGCTTGGTTGTCACTTGCACGTTACACTGCCAATGCCTTTGCCAGGAACATCCCAAGACTAGACTTTCTATTCTGGAAATTTGTTTTTTTGTTTTGTTTTGTTTTTGAATTTCGTGCAAAGCTACACAAGAGCTATCTGCACTAGCTGTCCCTAATTTAGCAGTGTAAGACTAGAGGGAAGGCAGCTAGTCATCACCAACCACCGCTAACTCTTTGGCTACTCTTTTACCAACGAATAGTGGGATTGACCGTCCCATTATAACGCCCCCACGGCTGAAAGGACAAGTATGTTTGGTGTGACGGGGATTAGAACCTGCAACATGCAGATTGCGAGTCAAGCACCCTAACCACCTGGCCATGCCGGGCCTCTGGAAATTTGAGGGTGAGGGAAGTAAGGACAACATCTCCCAATTGTTATTCATTATGAATCAATTATTCATTTCACTTAATTTACCTAAAACTCAGCCTAGGGTCCAGGAACAAGAGGGACAAATGTTATTAGAGCAAAAGTTAAAAGAATAACATTTATATGTTAGAAACAGTAAACAAAAATGCATAATAGATGAAAATAACTATGCTGTTACATTCAATTAAAATTTTATTTGGTTACCTTTAATGTAGAAGTAAGGTGTCTCCAAAGGTAAACTTTGAAGCTTTAATTAAATATTTAGTCACTGTTATAAAGATAAAATATTTTAGTTTTAATTCTGTGTGTCTTCACAATCTGTATTTCTTTGTGTATAGAGATTACCTATTGTGTCTCAAAGCTGAAAAATATATTAAATTTTGCATTTGTTTATAATGTTATATTACCCTTGGTCACAGCGTACTTTATGTGAAGTGTAGATTTTAGAGCATTCAGAAAAAAAAACATAAACTAAAGCTATATTCTGTTATAATGTCTTATTTTGTGAGCATTAATTTTTTACTATATTATTGATATTGTCCTGCTGGTTGATTCCACTCTTAAGCAGCAACATTTGTCCTAAATATTTATCTCGAATGTCATGCTTCTCTGAAGTTACACTGTCGTAGCTGTTTAATGGTTTTTCATTGGTAATGAGACTTTTATGGGAAGTTCTGCTTATACACAGTTATACTGATGTTTTGTTGTTTAGTGATCATTAAATTTATGACAGTACTTTCAGCTAAAAGCTAGTGTTTATGGGTTTTATATGTAAGGTTATTTCTTTATTGTTACTTTAATTAACAGTATTGGTTAAAGGGTGTAATACATTAATGTTTTTAAATTTTATCGATTGTTTTTCATTTAAGGCTAACATAAATTTTCTAAGCTGGTTGTACTTCGTGAGATACTCGTGGATTTTGGGCTGAAAATATTAACAGTGAAGGTACCCAAATGATGAAACAGTTCATTCTAATGTTTTATAAGTAAGAATATAAGTAAAATATATTTATTAGGTTGATTTTAAATTTTGCTCAAAGTAGATAGCTTGCTCTGAGTTGAAAGAACTTAATTTTTTAAAATAACTAATATTGACCCAAAGAAATTTCCTTTATTATTTTAAGGAATTTCTAGGAAAGAAATTGTTTTTAAGAAAGATATGTATTTTAATTCTTCCCTTTTGATTTTTTTTTTTTTTTCATAATATGCCAGTGCTGTACAAAACATAATTTTTCATTTAATTGAGATTCTAGTGAAAAACAATGCAAACAGTTTTAGGAACTTTGTATACTAGAAGTAGGGTAGAGACTTCACAGTTTCTACAACTACCTCCAAAAACATAAATTGGCACAAAATATATATGTATTACAAACATTTGCTGAAGATAGAGAATCTTCTAAAATTATCATAACTTGTTACTTTTACATATGCCACATGGTTATTACATGAAAGAAAATTAGGACAAAATATTATTCTGCTGGCTGAGGCCCCCAAAGGTATTATATATCCTATTTATTAATTTGTTGATGTGGTGTTTTGTAGTTATGATTGTATTTACCAAATTTTTGCTGTATAGGTATGGAAATATAAAATGTTACATATAAAAAAAAACAAAAAACTTTATATATATGTACATTTTGGGAATAGTGACTGAGTCTGATAACTTGCTGTAATCGTATTCATATCTTATTCCTAGTATTGTAAGTATGCTACATTCTTTTAATAACTAACAATACCATACCATGACAAGCTTTTTAATGAAATCAAATGTAAAGATAATCTTTATTATACTTGGTAAACTATACAATACTTCAAAACTAATATTGTAATTCTGTGTTAATACATTCTGACACTAGTAAGTATCAAGCTGGTTGCTGTTTTAAATAGAAAAAGACTACATATTCCCAGAGCCATCAAAGGTTTTCAGTAATTATCTGTACTTACTCAGTATACTGTATCATAGATTTGATTTATCTTGTGTTTCAGGATGACCAAGGTACATATAGTCAGAAAGTCAAAGAAATGATCACCAGAAATGAGTGTCGCATCATTGTAAATATTAATGATATTAGAAGAAAAAACCCAAAGCGGGCACAAGAGTAAGCATTAGAGTTACTGTATTGTATGTACAATATATATATTTCTTAGTATGGTACAAGATGAAACTGTCATTTACCTGTTTGAAATTAATTTTGTATAATTAATTTTACTTTAAATGAACTATTTTATGAGTGCTAACTGTCAAAATTAAAAATTAATGTAAATTTTAAAATTAATTTCTAAAATGGAACTTTGCATCTTTTCTTATTTTGTGTACTGTAACTGCAAATTTCAGGCAGTAATTACATGTACAGAATAAAATTTTGATTCTTGGTTTTTATTTATGTAAAATTTCATTTTCTTGCTGCTTTTTGAGAATGCTTCATATCTCACTTTCTTTCCAGGTTAATTAACAATGGTTTTGAAGAGCTTTTGGCTTTCCAGCGAGCATTGAAGGAGTTTGCTGCTGCTGCTGACCCAACATATGCTAAACAGTTTGAAGATTTTTTCGTTGGATTGGAAGGAAGGTAAGATATTATAACTGTTTTTTAAATTAAAATATAAAATGTTTTTTACAAATTCCAGAAAAGTTTAAGATTGACTCGTAAATATATATCAACAAAGTATTTGTTTTTATTTTTAGTTGAACATTATGAGTTCTGTGTTTTCATACCATTTTTGTTTTGAAGTTTCAAGAAATGTCTAAATTTATAGTAAGTTAACAAATTTACAAGAATGAAAATTTGAAAGTATGAAGAACAAGATGACAGAACCTTTAGCATATTATGGTGACTTCCATCAAAACTATCTTCACATCCACATATGTTTCTATTAGCATTTGAAGAATTTAGATAGAGAATGTACACATCATCATCATCAATTTAATCATTTTACTCATTTGCAAGAAAAAAGTTTTCAGAGAACAAAAGTTAGATTAGTTTCTAAAGCTAAGACTTATGAGTTTTAATAAGCAAGTTTTGTTTTCCAACATGTTTATTTTATGACCTTCTCAAAGTAAAGGGACAAACAATTAGAGGTATTTAAACACTTTAACTTAAGTTTTAAACTATATTGTTCTAGTAGTCATTTCTACACTATTTCCAGCTTGTTAACCCTCTCACTATGGATAGGTCAAAGCACGTATGCCATGACCTTTTACAGAGTTTAATTAAACTACATTATTATCAGTGTACATGAATAAATCTTGACATTTATTCTCTAGGTCTTCCCCTTTCTCTAATGTATTTACTACTTCTCTCAAAAGTATGGAATTTAACATACATTACTCATTATAACATGGATATTATAGAGACAAAGTGTAATTTTTATAACCTTCAATCTTCTTTGTTTACAGAGTAATAAACTCCATGCCCACCAGTCACATCCTCTCTTACACAAATTGCCAATAATTCTCTCTGATGTTTTACAATATCGTTTGTAACCAATAGAAAGGTCAAGTTTTAATTTATCGAATAATGTATAATGCTATGTATTGTCAGTTTTGTCTTCAGTTTGAAAGTTTATCTCATGTTCAGATTGAGGAGCTAAAAGTTATTTTAAGCCCCTCTTGTGTTAGTTAAATTATGAAAAAAAAAAAGATATGCTTCACGAGGTATGGTTCAATGGGCAATAATACAATAAAATTAAGTATAAACAGATGTAGCCTCTTACAGATCATAAGCTATTTCGAATAAACAATTATGGTTTTTGGTTACAGTCTGCAGTCATTCTAGAAAGAAAAAAGAGTAATTTAGATTTATTTCATTTTTTTTATGGTGTGTTACAGGGTCAATCAAATTGATTAATCTTGTATAGAGTTAGGGTAGAGAAAATAACAGGTAACATATGCAGTTTTACTGAAAAAAAATTTTTTACTGTTTATTTAGGAAATTTTAGAGGTTATGCAACTGTATTTTAATTTTTACATGAAGGTCACTTTGCACTTGGAGCAGTTATCATTCTGACTCCATATATTCACGGACAAATATTTAGTAAAAATACTTAATTAAATAATATGATTTTTTTGTACAAAAGATATGTAATGTTTACTAAAAATTTTGTGAAGATATACAAAACATACTCAAAGTTATAGTATGGGAACTCTGGTGGTTATTTTGTGGTTACAAGGTTGGGCACATTGACTGACCTGTATGGAAAGAGTTAATATCATTCTTGTAATAAAGAAAACAAAACTGCTATGTGTTAATTAGGCCTCACTCTCTTACAACCTTTTTGCCTTAAAAGTTAAACTTTTTTTTTTAATAGATCTCTGTCTTTGCACTACGACAAAACTGTTGGGTGAAGGCTGGAACCTTTCCAATTTTGACAGTAAATCTTTCTCTTTTTTTAGCCGTGGCTCATTAGAATGGCTCTGAGTTTCTTTGTTAGAGTACATACTTTTAGCTCATAGTTCCATCATTTCTTGACCGATTTGAGATCTAATTACAGTTTTGGACTTGGGAGGTCAAACCCTTTCGTTTGTTGTAATTGATCATGCCTAACATCTCATAGTTTACTTATTCTAATCCTGCCTTATAGAATTTCAATTTGAGGATAGGCTGCTAGAGATCCTGATGAGTAATAAAATCGAATTGGGTATACATATGCCCCACGCTTGGTACTGCTGGCACACAAAAATATAGCTAATAAAAAAGGGAAACAAAGGTCTTGTATATTAATTTACTCTAATCCTGCCTAAAAGAATTTCAAGTGCTGTGGCTATTGAAGATTCCATCTCATGATTTAACAAGTTTGTAATTGTTCTGTATACTTATGTGTAACTTACGTATATACAGAGAAGCTGAAGATCATATTGGAAGATATTAACATAAGTGTAAAAGCAATAATTCATGCATTTTTCTTAAGTTAAAAGTTAAATGAATTTCATTCTCTTTTAACACTTTGTATCTTTCGTACTGTAACTAATTTATTGAAAAATAAATCCTAGCGATATTATTGACATTGTACTTTATTTTTTACAGTTTTGGAGCCAAACATGTAACACCTCGCACCCTTAGTTCTCGTTTTCTCAGCAGTGTCGTATGTTTGGAGGGTATTGTCACAAAATGTAAGATTATCTCTTAGAAATATTAGATATATATATTGTCCTTTATAACTGTATGTTTGGAATAACTGACTGTATGGTTTCTTTTAATATTTCACAGAAAAATAGAACTTAGCATTTTTAAATACTTTGATAATGTGTAGCAATGTCATTTTTTTTATTTTCACGGGCATGATTGAACCTGTGACTGCTCACATTACAAGTGAGTGTTTCATCTACTGAGCAGGGTTGGCCTGTTAGCAGGTGCTAATAATGCACATTCTTAACAACTGCTACAACCATTTTAACACTTTTCTTGTGAATGTTGTACGTAATATAGTATATGACAATCAGATTTGTGATGTATACAAATTAATTAAAATGGTTGAATCAAATATGCATCTTATCCTTTTTTGTTACTGTAAAAAGAAATAGACTGAAAAGGTTTGCCCTTAATGGTGCAGTGCCCATTTTTTTTAGGTGTCTGTTAATTGAGGTTCTTCTGTATTCCCATAGGTGGAAGGTTATTAGATAATCAATGGTATACAATCAAATGGACTAAGTATGTGCAATTTTATCAACATTGTTTGACTGATCATTTTCCAAAATGTTTTTTTACTTTGCATTCTTTGAAGATTACAGAATATCTCAGTTACTTCTATAATACCCTGAGGGGCTCAGCATGGCCAGGTGGTTACGGCGCTCGACTCGCAATCTGAGGGTCGCGGGTTCGAATCCCCGTCACACCAAACATGCTCGCCCTTTCAGCCGTGGGGGCATTATAATGTGACAGTCAATTCCACCATTCGTTGG